GAAATATTGTTCCTAGGGTTGCACGATGGTGGCTTTTTATACAATAGTCTTAGTGCACAGTCGAATATCGCCCTGGTGCAAGAATGACAAGTTGATACCCTGTTTCGCAACCCAATATCGGACGACGAAGTTCGGAAGTTTCAGAGCAATACCCATCGGTTATGACTTATGACTATAAGCAACGAAGATTGTTTACACACGTTATAAATAGGCGACACAGAATTATGCAGGATTCGGAATGTTCTTTCTTCTGATATAGATGTGGAGGGGCTTAAATTTACTAAAGAATAAGTATTTAATTTAAAGAAAGTAAACAACAAATTATACCGACACCTAGATGGGACTTCAAAGGGTGCAAGGTGGCAACTTCGTCGTATGAATCATGACGACATAGGGAATTTTGGCGTTAAAAAGACATTGGAACTAGTGGTTCCCAAATGGAGTGGCGAAGCTTCCATAGAAGCCCACAAGCCGGGCTTGTGAATTTTTTTTCCAAATAATTTTAATCAAATATAAATAAGTAAATACTTAATTAAGTAATCACCTATTTATATTTTATAAAATGTTTTGCTGTTGAAATAAAAACGGGGACATGGAGTACATAATGGCTGCTTTATTTTTTAAATTTTAAGTATTACTTTTAATAATTAAAAACATTTAGTAATTAACAATTAAATATGTTATAGAAGTTTAACATTCGACTTAAAAAATATCAATGTAAACTTAATACTTTAAGTAAGGAAACTTGTAGGAACCAGTTAAATAAGATTGCTATGTTTAAAGGCCAATATGTTTGTGAGACTAATATCAGTCCCTGAAAAATATAAAGTAATAATAAATTTATTTTCATTATAGCTGCATGAATTTTAAAACATAATTATATTAATAGAGACTAGCCAAATACGTAGGAGATATTAAAGTTTACCAAGTATCTGAGGATCCATATGTACTCTTTATTTTCTTTTAATATGTTATATGTATATTATATGCATGTTAAGAAAACGGTCACCCATCCACTGACTGACCGCAGCAAGTGCACCTTTTTCTCGCATATCTATTGATCCGTGCAGCTATTACTTGACCACGAGTTCCTCGTCTTTACAACGTGATGAACCACGCTATTAAGCCCTCAATATCAAATGCAATGGAATTTCTAGTATGCTGGCACACAGAACCACGCGTCTCTTGCGCGGGTTTCTAGCGGCGCTTTAGGAGGTTATACATTTTTCGGTCGATAAAGAGATATATCTTAGTAGTTACGTTGTACCAGTTCTGGCGCACTTGTAGAAAGGTTGTACCAGTTCTGGCGCACGACGTTCGTCGACTCACAATCCTTAAAAAAAAAAAAGTTTTGGCATGCTCTGATCACGAATCTGCGGTCCATTTTTGCGTAGGATGCACGGTTCCGGAGATGTGCAGATCAATTAACTCTTATCTAATTGATATCCGCTACGAGCCTCAACCGTCATTAGCGCTCCATTGTCCTTATCTACTTATCTATTGTTGATTGACTACCGTCATTATCTATTATTCGTCCAGCGTGTGGGTCGGCTTATGCTATTGTATTATACTCCTTTGTTCCTATCTACAACACTAATCTGAATCATCAATAAAACACATTACCTAATTTTGTTAAAAATTTTATTTATGAAATACAAAATCTTATTACTTATTATCTATAAAATAGGAGCGAAACATCTCATCCACTAAAATATCGTTGTACAATGTGTTCTCTGTAAATATACTCGTAAAACTATGCATTGAACATCCCTGAAACTTATATAACAAATACATTAAGCAATATTCGCCACAAACTGAAGTCCTATCAACATTCCACACATAATACTACTACACTCAGAACAATAACTAAAGCGTAGAAGAAGCCTGTCTAACAGCTATATTATACATCTCTTTTTTTTTTCAAAATATGTCAGAAAGAGATAAATAGGTCAATATTTAAAAAAGTTTTTTGTCTATGGCTATGTTCATTTTCGTAGACAGAGAAACCTATAGATAAAATGACGCCTTCTTTCGCATTCGCACACGAAAAATATAGATTTATGCATACGTCTTGCATAGAAATGAGATAGAGCGGTGTGATTGTTTATCCCTTTCTCCGTGCCGGTTTTGTTGTGTAGTGTATTTGCTAAACAACTTTGACAGTTCGTAGCGATCTAAGGAGTTTACAAGTTGGTTTAAGTAAGAAAAAAGTGTTTTGTAAGCTTAAGATTGGTGAATCTTGTTCAGTTCAGTTCTTAGAACAATTAAACATTTTATCTAAATACGTTTAAAAGTCATAAAGATTATTGTATAACCTAAAACTACGTTATCATCCTTTCTCACTCAAGGTCACGCTAATCATTAGTCTATAGGTTTCTCTGTCTACGTTCATTTTTGAAAGCATGGAGGTTATTGAACAGGAGAACGATAGCTACGTGCTAAAGCATAGTCCACATGTCCCTGAAAGTTTGTAGAATTTATAGCCGCACTGCCGTCGGTAAGTAATGAAGTAATTTTTGACAGAAAGAAACATTAAAAATGGTGAAATATTGTATAAAATAATAATTATAATTATAAATCAATAATAATTAATAATCTATATTTATAATAATTTATAATATTTATAATAATTAAAATTGTTGAGACAACTTAGCGATCGCAGCGCCTCACTTATTTTGTCCATATTTCTGGGACACTATTTTCTACAGCGATCGTTCTCCTGTTCTCTAACCTCCATGTGTGAGAGTGTGAATCGAAATATTAATAAAAAGAACAATATCCTACATTATAATGGGATATAAATCCCATTCCTCTGTGAAAGATAACGACTACGAAAACATTAGCTTTCACCGGTATAAGTCGTTATAAGTCATTGTGTCAACATTTGAAACACGATTGACGAGCATTTTCAATTGATAGAAATTCATGTTTTTTTTGTCATTTTAACTTTAAAATCGAATAATATTTTAATAAATTAAGTTTTTTGCCCATTTTAAAGTAATAAAATTGAATATTTGTTGTTTAAAAATTTGAGTTAAAATTTTGGCAATAGTGTTGGAAAAATATATCTCTAGCATATATTATCGATAGTTTTACGATTAACCCTTAGCTGGTATCACCTTTTTTGGCAACACTACCGGTATCGTGGGTCATATTTTGCCCATACCAAAAAATGTTGTAGAACGTAGATTTTTTTATTATTTGTATAAAATATGGTTAGTTATGAAATAAAAAAACATTTTTTTTACAAAATTAATTTGGTTTAATTTTAGAATATAAAAGTTATCATGTTTTACACGCATTTGTAACTAACCTAATTTTTGAGCACTTTTTGATAAGTGTGAACTTAAAACATAAAAAAAAAATAGAAATGTAAGAAAAAATTTAACCAAAAGATATTTATGGCACTTCTCATATCTTTACAATAACAAAAAAATTACTTCTGAGATCAACGTAAAATAAAAAAAATGACAACCAAAATCAAAACGACTTGTTCCAAACTAACAAGATAACATATTTTAGTCCTTATACTTTCTGACACCTGGAACATTTAACATTTTGGACAGAATGTGTCTTACAAATAATATGTAAACATTTAAAACATTTTAGAGAATGTTTTCGGTGATTTTTCCAATCGCATATGTAGCATCTGGCCCTTTTCCGATTTGAAATTGAAGCTGCAGAAGAGGTCGATGCAACTGGTTCTTCAAGCTGGGATTGATTTTTCGGCTGCTTATGTATTTGCTCCAAAATGTTATCAATCCTCCTCTTTAGATCATTGGAAAAATTAGCATACCCTGTTTTCCGTTGCAATATAAATGGTGCTACCAAGTCTAAACCTATTTTCCTAATATATTTGTTCCTTTTCATGCGTTTTTCAGGATTGGAGGCTTTCCAAAATACATTGCCCAAAAAATTACACATGGCCATCTCTGAGTTCTTCTTGCTACCGAGTAATTCGCACATTTTTGGTTTAAAGAATCAACACCGCCTTTGGTACTATTATAAAATTGAATGATTTCTGGTTTGCTGCTTTCAGTGTCGACGGATTCATCATGGTGCATAGTTGAAATCATGATTACACTTTGATTCTTTTTAGGGACAAAGGAGCAAAGAGTTTTATCATTTGTGAAACCAGATAAACTGGAACCTACTGGACGAGTTTTATTCGGTAAAAATTTTGGAGGGATTTTGCGTTTATTTTTACGCAATGTTCCGACATATGTCAAGCTCAATTCTTTTAGTTTATCGACTAGTTCGATCGAGGAAAACCAGTTGTCTGCCGTGATATTTCTGTTTGAATTCTTCAAAGGTCCGACTAATTCCAAAACTGTGCGTGTTGGTATAGATACATCAGTTCTTCTTGATTCTGTTTTACCAGTATATATAAAAGCATTGTACAAATAATGAGTTTGAGAATCGCAAAGGCATAAAATTTTGATCCCATATTTCGCAGGTTTTGATTTCATGTATACTCTAAATAAGCATCTTCCTCGAAACGGACACAACATCTCATCTACAGTGATATATTCAGAGCAACTGTAGTTTTTTTGGCAGTTCTGTATAAACATATTGAATACTTCAGATATTAGTGCAGCTCTATCGTTTGCGTTTCTTTCGGTCCTCGTTTCAATGTTATCAAAACGTAAATCTGACGCAATAAAAAGGTATCTTTTTAGAGACATAGTCAACCTGAAAATATCTCTACCTGTACCATCCGAGTTCCATAAATCTTCAAGATCTTCATGTCCCGATTTGAAAACTCCAGCCAAAATGGTAAGACCCAAAAAGCGTCTATTTCAGTCTTTTGTATGGAATTTGTATGAGCACCAGTGCTTGAATTAGACTCTTTAAATTCCGCAATTTTTTTGTTGGTATATAAAATAATTATTTCAAGCATCTCATCACTAACAACTGCCATGACTCCAACTCTGACATATTAGTTTTTTCACGAGCTGGGCCTACTAAGCCAGGAAAGTGTGTAATTATGTTATGCCTCCTCATTCGGGATCTACGTGGAACTGTTTTAGACCACTTGTAACGATTTTTACCTCGATAACAATTTGAAGTCCATGCTCCATCATCCTCATCTTCTTCGCCCTCATCTCTCGTATTTTCGTTCCCATCTCACTCGTATTCTCCTCTTCGTTTTCACTGTCGTCAGAACTTATTCCAAATACACTGTCTTCTGAGCAACTAACAGGTTCGGGACTGTCTCTGGCGTCACAAAGTTGGTTTATATTTGGTGTCCTTTCATTTTCCGATTCCAAATCATCATTTAAGTCGTCCATCAACTCCTCGATTTGTCTATCGTTCAAAAAGCCCCCCATTGTAGTACAAATATTCACTAATACAAAAAATGTTACAAATTACACTCAGTGAAAAAAGTTACTTAATTGGTGTCGTGGGTCGAACGTGACCCAGCCGGCTACTTACCTCCGCTCCTAAGATAGTCACAGCGCTGCACGTCCGCCCCCCGCCACAGCTAGCGACGCACTGAGAATACGTAGAAGCGCGCAATCGTAACATAAATATTAAAAGAATAATAACCGAAAATGTTCGCTTCTGGGTCAAATTTGATCCACGATACCTACTAAGGGTTAAATTATAGTTTTCCTACGGACATCAATTTAAGACAAAAATGGATCGACGCTATTGCACATCGCAATTGGAAGTGGAAAAAGCACCACCGTATTTGTTCCAGACATTTTAAAGACGACTGCTTTAAAAATTTTGAACATTTTGACAAATGTTGCAGGCTGAAATTAAATGCTATACCTTCACTACATCTGCGGTATAACAAACATTGTACAGATCCTTTTTACAATAAATCTGTTTATGTTGCACATCACTGTTGTTTTGATTTGTTGAAAAATTAAATTTCTGATTACGCGGTGTTGATATTTTTATATTGATGTTTCTACTGTTGACATTAAGTATCCCACCCTTAAAATTCAAGATTGTTTATTATTATTTCCCCCATTGTTTATTTCGTTTAATTCATACATTTCCTATGATGCAAATATAACATAAAACAACTAAATTTTTCTAGAACTATAGCATTCCTGCATCTACATTGGCGACTGCATAAACATCCAGTGTGTCTGAAAAGAATATCACATCAACATCCAGTGCAATAGCGACAATCGCACCTATACCATCAAGTGCAACATCAACCAGCACATCTGATTCTAGTGCAAAATTAACTACTACAGTAACTACAGTTACATTTAGTTCGACACCAAGTCAGTAAGAATTAATTAGATTTAGAAAAACTGCCACAAATTACCAAACGACTACTTCTAAAAATAAATTGTTTGCGCCAAAAGACAAGATGTTTAAAAAATGAAAATCTGGATTTAAAATTAAGATAAGAACATTTTTTGAATGAAGAAAAAATAAGAAATAAAATTTACTTATATTGGATTCAGTGAAAAATAATCCAATAGTTGAAAAATATTTACTGAAAGAATGGGAGAAGATAAGCGTATATACTCTTTGGAATTGAGAAAATTCGCAGTCACTTTAAATTATATATCACCGCGAGCAGTATGTGCCAACGAATTTCACAGGATTCACTACAGAGCCTTTGAAGCTATTAAAGAAAGGGTAAAATTAAATAATAATAAACCTTTATATGTTGCGATATCATTCTGGAGAACCGAGCTTTATTTCACAGCTTTGATTAACCACACACTAAACTACATACACAACATTTTACGTATACAACATTGCACGGGGCATTACATCTTAGTCCTCAGGGTTGGCGATGCATTTTCAATCTATAGCGGTTTAATGGTCTTGAGATTGTAAATATCCATGAGCTAGTTTGTTTTCTGCATTATATAAAAAAGCTTACATAACAAATACCGTGTGGCATTTAAGTTATCTTGGTGCCCTCGACCAATCGCCTTCTATTGTTCGCCTAAATTACACTATTTCTTACGGCCAAAGCCATGTAAAACTGTTGTTACAAAAGTACTTCCATATTCCTTAAACTCTAATCTTTAGGAAACTTGCAAAAATAAATAAAAAGCAATATGGTTGAAGTTAACAGTTAGTAATTTTATTATAATGTATTATTACTCTTAAGTATTGTATTATATTTAATTTGATGCAAGTTTGATGTTAAATTATACCATAATAAAACTCACAATATTATATATTAAATAAATCAGAAAAAAAAGAAATCATTATATGCACGAGAGACACAGCTGTATAGACCATGTGCCTATGGCAGCGCTGTCGTCGCGCCACAATTCGAAACTTTGATAGCGTGATTTAGACTTCGGTGTGTTTCGTTTGTGGCGCGACGACAGCGCCGCCACATCACCCCCCTGCTCGATCTCTGAGCACTATCAACATTCCGAATCATAAACAGTATATATAGAACAGCTCCGAACTATCACACGGAGCGTTGGCCGCTCCCCGGGCAGAACACCTTGCCCGGCGGGAGATCTCCCCTTTTCCTTCTACCCCGGCATTAAGGACGCACCGGCAATCGGACTGCATTGTAGACCTCCGGTCTGAGCAGGGGGGTGATGTGGCGGCGCTGTCGTCGCACCACATGCCTTTGCCATTTTATCGATAACTATATCAAGACTATTGCTCGGTGACAGCATAGCTTTGAATATTAACACAGAATAATTAATAGTACTACGTACAGAAGTTGCACCCCTTTGATGTCGACTGCTTGCCGACGTTTAATAGCCTACATAATTATTATTAATCAGATGAATCGCTCACGCAAGCTAAATAAAACTTTATCGCTGTGCGCGAGTGTTCCTATTACTTTGCATCTTTACCGCTTCCTAAGTTACGGCGGACTTTCTGTGGTTATTAATGAATGTCAATAGAAAGTAATAAAATACATTGCGAGATGTTAATTAAGTTACTTTAAATCAGTTTACGATGAATACATCATTACATTAATATATGTAGTGAATCCTGTCAAATGATTTAAATGTTCAGCTCAATCCCAACAAGATTCCGAATATATTAAATTTAATGTAATCGATATCTAGTCTTTATCAAAATATTATACAAAATAAAGACCGAGTTAGTCGAATCAAAACTACCCACTTAGTAGCAAATGTATGCAATTTTTGTAAAATTAAACTGGTATCACTGCCACCGAAAGTGTTGCAATGTAGTGATGTACGCCACAACTTTAGCTATCGATAATTTAATTAACAGATTTGGGTTTGTCTGCCGAACAGGCTTTTATTTTTTGTTTATATTTTATAATAAAGTGTTACAAAAAGTAGTCATTTTTTCTATTATATTGGTTTAATAATAATAAATAAAAATAGTTTATTCAGTAAATGATCCTATATAAATTATAACCGGGAATGAGGTCTCCTTGTAAGTATAAAACTTGTGTTAGGAGACTCCACTCTTCCACAGCACTTACATTACTATTTTGATGATCCTTACATAATAATTAACGATAAAATTAAAATAAAAACAATATTATTCACGTCAAAGATTTTTTTATATAAAGGTATACGTGTACACGCGCGTGTATGTGTGTGTGCGCGCGCGCACGTTTGTGTGTACGTGTGAGTGAATAGATGTGTCTGAGTGATTGAGTGAGTGCATGCATGAGTGTATAATACAAATTAATTACATTATTTAGTATTACTTTTGAGAGCCTCAGTATCATCATAACTCTTATGAAATAGCCTTTCGTGATGAATTTTTATGCTTTTATTAATGGCGTGGTATAGAGTCGCTGACTATTTTACATACAATATTTTAACAGCACAGCGCAGCCACTACGTTTTTCCTTCTTTTGGCTACACCGGTTAAACTTTATACCTTTATGTAGTCTTAGAACTGAATATAAGATGTACGGTTTCCGAACAGTAAGTACATTACTTATGGCATAAAAATCTTCTGTAGGGAATCTTTTTGGTTTAAAATGCATAATTTTTAATAAACTTCTCTGTGCTCTTTCAACTTCTAGAAATTTGATTTTGTAGCTCCACTCCATACAGGAATACAATATACTAAGATAGATTGAGTCGAAGCAATATATATTTGGTACAGCAACTATTTCGCCTTAGTGTTTTAAATGTCCATGTTAGTTTCCTAAGTCTCTTCATGATTAATTCAATGTGTCTATGCCAAGACAAATGTTGGTCAACTATGACACCTAAATACTTGGTCTCAGAGACCTTACTAATTAATGAACAGCTTCAACTACTGCAACTGCTGCAACTACTTAAGGGACCATAGCGTGTGTGAAGTTTAATTTGGAAATGAATATTAGGCTGAGTTCTATAATTTGTAAAACATATAACTAGTTTTCAAAGTATTTAAAGTAAGTAGATTAGTGTTCAGCCACATAACGATCCTATCAAGGCCTTCTTCAGCAGATCTACGAACAGAACGCCAGGAGTTATCAGTAAATATTACTGCAGTATCATCTGCATAGGAGATTTTGATAAATCATATTTCATACCCCAAGTTATCAATAAAAGAATGTAAGCCGATACTGCTGTACTAACCTTTAATTTGTGAAAGATAATGTCTAGCTGTAATTATATCAATAGATTAAATCGTTTTATATTACCCTTGACACCAATATTATTCTTCTTGAAAATATTGTTACGCGCCGAAGTCGACGGCACTAGCGCCATCTAGTATCGAACAGAAGAACTAAGCTTCTGGAAGCTGACTATCGAATTTTCGACGCTTTGTCGATCGGTGCGCGTATTTACTTGAATGTTTCGGATGATTCGGTACTAATGTGTATTTATAGGCTTTGCAAGGTGCGATCGTGGAAGTATTGGATTTGGCGAGACAAGCGAAGCTTCTGAGCGGTATAAAGTGAATCAGTGTGATTAATTATTGGTGTTTTAAGTTTTAATTTGTGTAAAGAAAATTAAAGTGTTAATTTAGGTAATTCTATCGGCAATTTTTATTGTCACGAACCTCAAGCTCGTAACAATTGGTGTCAGAAGTGGGATAAAATCACGCCGATTTTACCTAAGGAGGAAACGGAGGGTGTCCGTACCCGAAGTCAACGCCAGCAGGAGACAGAACAAAGAAGATTTGGTGGTGCAACGCCGCAGACGTCGGAGGGCCAGCTGCCGGCTGCAGGCCCGTCAGTAGCTCCTACATCTGCAGCACCTGACTTAGGTGCTCTGATGGTGATGCTGCAGGAGCAGGCTCGCCGACAGGAGGAACAGGTCCGTCGATTGTGGACAGGAGGAACAGGCCCGTCGTTTGGAAGAGCAGCTGCGGGGCGGACAGGAGGAACAGGCCCGCTGGCAGGAGGAACAGGCCCGTCGTTTAGAAGAGCAACTCCAACGCGATAAGGAAG